AAAAGAAAAATATATATTCTGAAAGATTTTATAAAGATGATACAGAACTATTTTGAAGGTCAAATTAAAAACAAAACAAAGCAGTTCCCAGAATAGTTTAAAACTTCTATTTAACAGAAATCTGAAAAAAAACCCCACCAAAATTTACGAAACTGTATCTATACAGAGAAAGGGAGAAATGGAGTGAAATTAACATATATTTGCTATAATGTTCAAACAGGTTTATATTTATTAACTCAAATAATTAATAAGGTCTTGTTTTACTTTGTGTTCCCATTTAGTTTCAAGATTTTCCTGGAAATAAAGCTTATATGAACTAGATACAGCATTTCACCATTATTTTATAGAAGCTACATATTGCATTGGATAGAAACAAAGAAAGCAATGGTATTATCTGTATCTTCTTGTTCAAGCATAAATTCTTTATATTACAAAAAATCTTGCAATACTATGTCAAATTTAAAAATATTTGAACATTGTTATGATATAGTAAAACGTTAAAACGTTGTTAAACATATCTTCCTTTCACTACTTTGTGTGGTGGTATATTGATTTGTAAACTTGTACAAATTTTGGAATTAAAGAAATACTGTGTTTTGGATTATTATTATTTTAGCAGGTGTGATTTGAAACACAAATATCAATGGCTCATTTGAACAGGCTGTATTAGCAGCAGGGGAAGGGTTTGGAGATGGCCCATGCTAAATTGCCTGCAACTGTTTAAATAGCTCTTAAGTTTTGGGGGGAAGAGGGGGTATCCTTAAAAAAAATAAAACAGAATTGCATTTACAACCGAACTGCAAATCTGGGAGAGGCACAAGAAGACTGCAGGGCACAGACACCGTTGTGCACACACAGGAGCTGATAAAGCTGGTGAGTTTGTGTCCCTTCCCTGCATTCTGCGGCACAACAGCTCAAACGCTAAATCATGGCAACGTTTGTGTGCCGTGCTTTGGACCCAGCTGCACCTTAAACACTGGGAGATCACAAACCTGTGTTTCTCTGGCAGAGCTGCAGTACACCAGGACAAGTTCAGCAGTAGGAATCACTGCACTCCTGCCTCTTCTAAGCAAGCCCAGGGCTGGATCACACATCCACACAGTGCGCATTGCTGAGCTCCGGTACGGTCTTCCGAGGGTCCAGTACAGCCAGAAGGTTCTTACCTGCTGAACAGACTCCAAGGCAGCCACAACCACCTGAAATGGAATTGTCACATGAATTCATTGCAACTCAGATTTTGCATCGAGTGTCACCTATTCATACACACTGGGCCAGTTCTTAGACTTTATTCTTTCTATTAATTTGATTAAAAATAGTGAAAAATTATTATTTAAGTGACTTCCTTTGATTTAATTAAATGTTCCCATTTTCAAGTCAAGTAAGGCAAACAAAATTCAAGCCTTGGTTCCCCACTGCCTGTCATGCTAAATAGTTACTGGTAAGTACAAAAAATGTATCTGAAACATTATCAGCTTAGAATTGCTGTCCCTCTAAAATGTACTTTCCACATGTTTCATTACTTTCAAAAGATGGAAGGCTGTGGATAAGCAATACCGACAACTTTTATGACAGACTTTATGTAAAAATTATAAAATTAATGCATCAGCTTGGCTCAGTGTGATTGAATATGGTAACTCTAAAGAAGTAGCAGATCTGATACTGCATTTTACACAGGTGTGTGATATCTGTGAATGCAAGTAACTGTTACAAATTAATGACAGCTGCTTCTTGAGCTTTCATCTGATATATATATATATATATATATATACACACACACACAAATATAGTGCAGTATCATCACCTGAAAAACATAAAAAATGTATTGGGGGTTTATACAGTACATATGTTATGCTTGTTTTATGGTGTTTCTATTAAAACAAGGAAACTCAAATTGTGCTGCCTAGTTGCACATTACTGTAGGATACTCTGCTGTGCACAGTTCCAAGTGCCTTAGACAACTGTTTAGCTCTTTGAATTATAGATATATATGAATGAATATATATAAACAGAACATTTTAAAAATCACCTCTAGAAAATTGTTCAGAAAACCTTTACTGAAAATATTTTCTTCTTTAATCTCTAGCATGTACACAGTACATGAATCTCTAGCATAGCAGAGGTAAATTCAGAGAGCCTCCAGAGGCCAAATAAAACTGCCTCCTTGTGGAAATGAAATGAAAAAATGTTCCTGAAACCTTCCTTTGAATTCTGGCAGTCCTTCAAACACAAACCTTCTGGTAAATTCCCTGTGTGTGGTGTATTCATGGAGAGGTGTGTTGAAAGAGGTGATACTTGGTTTAAAAAGACAAAGTTAGGGTTGTAGCTCAATGGTTTGGAGACCTAATCTATGCTCCCAGTTTCCCCTTTTTTTGTCAGTAAGAAGTGTTTACCACTTTCATTGACAGTAGATTTATAGTGGAAATACACCCTCTGCACAGGAACAAAACTGATCTGCACAGCTGAGGGTTCAGCCTAGTCAGCAGTGCATCTGCCAATCTTTTAACTTTCAAAGTGACTGACAATAACTTTTGGTTTAAATACTTTGAAATAATTTCTTCTTTGCAAGAACTAGGAGAAAAAATGAGCATAAATTTCCTCACACAGACGGCCAGTTGACGATTATGTTAAGGATGTGCTTCCAGCATATTATCTTTTAAGTGGATGCCTTGACAGTGAGACTGTTTCAATACTGACCATTTTCCTTCTGCAAGCATAAAAGGAGTGGTTAGTGACCTGAGCACTTACCCCTCAGGCTCTGTAGATGCTCTGTGCTGAGTTCTGTTAGCAGTCTCTGCAAAGAACAGACAGTGAGAGAGTGCTGTGTGAAGGATGGCCTTGTAAGGCTTGGATGAAATCAGAAGCTTAAGCAGAGTCTCCCTGACACTCTCTCATACACAGCTCACATCCATGTGATACTAAATATTGAATTTTGATATAAATAAGGAGATGACTCACCCTCAGGTATCAACAAAGGAGGAAATGTGATGCCTATTGTTGCTAATCTGTGATTCAAACTCATCCTCAGATGTATTACTGTTAGTATACATTAGCAATCTTCTGTGATATGGGAAGGAACCTGTCTTAATCTCTGTGTGAACATATAATACATATCCTTCCCCCTAAATGCTTAGAACCTAACCAGGAAATTCAGGGGAAGGATGTAAATTAAAGAAAGACAGAAAACACTGAGACTTAACAGGTAAACTTATCTTACACTTAGGAAACAGCTGACTAACAACAGAGCTGAGAACAAAATTTAATTTTTCCTACATCCAAACTGATACAATGCTCCTAGACCAGATTTGGGGTGTGTGGAATGACAGTACTGCCACCACCAGCTACGGAGGTGCAGGTTTAGGGGATTGTGAAGTGTAATCCTGTCACCAAGTCTATGTACATGCACTTCTGTGGATGCCAGAGAGGCAGGTCAGGAACTTGGAAGCAATAAGGAGTAATCTAATCTACATCATTACCCCACAAATAAACGCTAAGTACTGTGTTTTCAACAGCTGAGTGGCTCTGTTCTTAATTACCCTGTGAAAACCCAGCTCTGCTGTTGCAGCTGTCGCTGGGCTGGCCGCACGGCCATACCGCAGGGAGGGAGCTGTTGCTCCTGGGGGCAGCCGTGAAAAATCCACTCGCAGGCTGCGGTGCAGGAGGGGTCACTGCGGCTCTCCTGGTGCCCCGGGGGTGCACCACACCCGCACACGGCTGACAACAACGAGACACTCACCGGCACTTTTCCCAAAGAAGAGGAAAAGCCAGCCTTTGCACAGATAAATCCTGAATCCCCCGAGTCCAGGAGTTATTTCAGCTGATGGAGGGGATCAGATTGGATTGTGCACTTCTGCAAAAGTGACGGGATGAAACTGGGTAAGGATTCAAGACTTCAGAAAACAGCCAGAAGAGTGAAAATCTGGGTTCTTTCGGAGCTTTAGTGACACCTACTGAAAACCAGTGAAATCCACCCAAATGTGACCAAAGCTAACACCTTCAGGTACATGCATGCATATAAATTTAGCTGCATCCATACACACATAATATGGACAACTTGTCTGAATTTTCAGTGAAAACCTCTTCTTAGCTGTTACTGTCTTATTTGCCTGTAAACACATGGGAAAAAAAACTGCTCCCCTCTGTGTTTTACACTTTCTTTTGAAAAGTAGCAAAGGAGGTTTTAAGATACCAAGCATACTTCTCTCTTTTTTTTTAGCAAGAAGCCTGTAGGTGAGTGCCCGTGTTTGTGCACAGCCCCCTACATGGTGTAGGTAGAATTCATACAGCGACAGTGTCACGCTGCAGAACGGTTCGGGTTGGAAAGGACACAGTGGAACGTCTGGTCCAACCTCGCTGCTCTCGCAGGGCTTTCCTGAGGCACATGGCACTGCATTGTGTCCAGACGGTTCTGGAGCATTTCCAGGGAGGGAGACTCCACAGCCTCTCTGGACAACCTATTCCACTGCGGGATCACCTGCACAGCAGAGATTTGTCCTTATACTCAGCCGGAACTTCCCGTGCATCAGTTTCTGTGTGTTGCCTCTTGTCCTATTGCTGGGCACCGCCAAGCAGAGCCCGGACCCAAACTCTTGACACCCTCCCTTCAGATACTTAGAGGCATTGATGAGGTACCCCCTTAGTCGTCTCTCCTCTGAACAGGCCCAGTTCCCCCAGCCCTTCCTCGTCCGAAATAAGAACTCAAATACGGGGGCATTGATGAGATCCCCCCCCTTTACTCGTCTCTCCTCTGAACAGGCCCAGCTCCCCCAGCCCTTCCTCGTCCGAAATAAGAACTCAAATACGGCAAAACACAGTTAATACCGACACGTGTTTATTTACTCCCCATCCTTCACACCCGGCCCCCACAGCCCGCCCGTCCCCTCAGCCATCCCCGCCCCGCCTGGCCTGGCTGCCGCGCACGCGCGCTGCCCCACGGCCGCCTGCGCCGCGCTCTGCCATTGGCAGCGCTGGCGGCCCGAACCACTCTCACTATTTTGAGGGAGAACTGGGAAAACATGTCTCCGACGAGCGTCCTGCTGGGGTCCACCGACCCTCTCTTTTTTCAGCATATTATTTCAGTCTGACAAAATACTCGTTGTTTTGTATTTTTTTAACTGGGAAACAAAAACTTACAAACCTGGGCGGCCTGGCCGCTTACCTGGTTCCCCCCGTTGGTCAGTGGTGCATCCCAAGATGGAGGGCGCAGCCCTGGGACACTGACGCCTGGCCCGCGTGGGAGCGAGCGGGGTTCGGGACAGCGGGAGCGGCCGGGGGACAGCGCCATGGTGAGTGTGCCGTGCCCTGTACTCGGCACTGACAGGGGAACAAGGCAGCTCAGAGCAGTAGGGCCCCCAGGTAGCCTGTAACGCTGTTTGTCGGGTAAGTGAAGCCGGAGTAAACACACCCTGCTGGAAGCGTTTTTCCAGGTCCGGTGTGGTGAGGCGTAGGAAAGGCTTTCAGCCAGCTGAGGGCACTTGGTGGGGCTGTTGATGCAGCCCGATGTGTGTTCGATGTTAGAGCTGTGCCTGGCTGGTGCTGCTGCCCATGGTTCTCATGGCTGATGTTGAATTGCTGCTCTAGGAGTAGTCTAAAGCACGAAACAAGGTGCGTCTGGATGAATTTTCTTATCAGCTTCCCGTGTTTCTTAGATCGAGTGTGTTGCAGATTTCCTTTCTAGGGCTGTTTGTTAAACTGTATGTGCTGTTATCAGATGTGAAAAGTGCATATTGTGTGCCTCTACGCGGGTATTTACTATACGTATTATGTATTGATTAGTAGTGCTGTATTAACATTTTAACAGTATGGTAAATGTAGTTTCATAGTTAAAAGGTAAATTTTGTAGTTAAAATAGGAACTATGTATGTGGAATGTTTTCTTTTTAGAAAGGAGTGAGGTGCTCCCACCGGATGCTGTCTGCAGGACACCTAAATCTTTCAGAGAAAGAGAATTTATTGCTCTTTTATCAGGAGAAACGAACTTCTTCCCACCTGGTTCAATCAAAAAGATGCTGTTAGGATTAAGTAGAGAAGTTGATGATGAACAGACAAAATCCCTTATTTGAGTGGAATTTATGCATCATGTATGAAGCATATGAATATGCAACAGGCTATCATTTTTAAGGGTTAACCCTTTGTTAACGGGTGTCCTTTTCTGGGCTTATTTTGCCCAGGAAAGGTATCCTGACCATCTATAACTCTTTGTTCTTATTGTCTTGTATTGTCCTAACCTCAGTTGTTAAAATTTTTGTTACTGTAAGTATATTCCTATTTTTGTAACCATCTTATTACTATTAAAACTTTTAAAATTTTAAAAGCAAGTGATTGGCGTTTTTCACACAGATATTTACTGTTTGATGTCTTGCCATTTTGCAGCTGAGTTCAGCTCCCACCAGTCTCTGTATGCTTTGTCTGAGATATTTACTGTTCGATGTCTTGCCATTTTGCAGCTGAATAAGCTGCCTTGCTGTTAGAGCATATGAAATGCCTGTTGTGCCTGTGGGGAGCTGAGTTAAGCTCCCACCAGTCTCTGTATGCTTTGTCTCCAAGCATGTGTTTATAAGGCATTGCTTTAAAATGAATACAGCAGCACACTACAGCTTCTCCTTAGGTGCTTTGAATATTTAATTTTTTGTTAACGGTTAACAAAATTTTCTTTTTCAGCCTCACAAGAAGAAAAAGCCCTTCATAGAGAAGAAGAAAGCGGTGACATTTCACTTAGTGCACCGAAGTCAGAGGGATCCTCTTGCTGCTGATGATACTGCACCCCAGAGGGTTCTGCTGCCCACTCAGAAAGTAAATACTCACTTTTAATTCTGAGGTTCATTCAGATAAGAAACACCACAGAGAAAAGAAGTTGGTATGCAATTATACAGTTCAAAAACAGCCTGAGAGAAGGTAGTTTTTAGTTCAGCTTATTAAAAAAGGGATGTTGTAGGCAATTTCATAGTTGTGAGTTACTGCCTGATGATTGAAGGATGACTTAACTGGCATTAGAGGTGTAAATGTGTTTTAAAAACAACAAACAAAACTTGCCTGAGTCACTGTGATAAAACAGGCATTGTTGGGTATGCTGCTGATGGAAAAGTGCTGCTCAGACAGCACCCAAACATGGAACCAGCTGATTACAGCATTCTAATTGGCTGTGGATTAGGGTAAGGAGTGGAGAGAGGACTACTAGGACTTCAACAGCCAGACACTCTCAGTAGCTAGAGAGTAGATAGTGTGTTGCTTTTCTTTTTGCTATTAAGTTTTAAGTGGACTTTGGTAACTACATGTATTCATTTTGATTATTTTCTTCTCCCCCCACTTCCCAGGGGCATGAGGAGCGAAGAAGGGAAGAGCAGCGCAAGTATGGTGTCTTCTTTGATGATGACTATGACTATCTGCAGCACCTCAAAGAAGCCTCTGGTCCCTCTGAGCTTGTCCCATCTGTGCGTGGACAGCAAAGCAGAATTGTCATCACAAATGAGGGGCACATAGAGGATGAAATTCAGAGAATTTCAGTAAGTAGTATTTTTGCTGATGGTAATGCTGTTCTTTGGAGCATTAACATTCTCTAGGCACATTAATTGTGTGTGTGTGTATATATTTATATGTAAGGATCCTTTTGACCCACAACCAACTTGACTTTCCTGCAAGTAAACCCAGAAGCTGACAAGCAAGCATTTACTGATGAACATTATTTTGCTAGCACAGTGTTAAAACACTTCAGGTACCCATGACAAAGTTCTTTTCTACAGAGATGACTTTCAAAGGTGTTTGTTTGAACACGTTGTGTGGTTTTTTGGGTGGGCATTTGTTTCTAAGGTTTTTTAGAACTTTTGAATGCTGTGGGAGTTATGAATATGCCAGGTTGTATTATCATGCACACCACATTTTTAAATGTGGTGTAGTAGAAGCCAGTCAGACTAAAACCAAACTTCTCAATTGCTGGCATAACTTGTAGAAGTTTATGATGCTGGATCACATTGGAATGGAAAAGCAGTAAATGCTTTGAAGCAGTGAAGTATGCCATGGCCAGTCACTTATAGCTGAGGGTGTTTGATTTAACCAAATATTGTCATTTTAGTCAAAACTAATAGTCTTAGTCAGAGGTACCTTTCAGGTACAGCTTGGTGATACTATGCAAGGTTTAAAGTTAGGGTAGGTGTGCATGTTGTGAAGCTTTTAACAAGTCTTTCAGTAAAGGGATGAATTCAAATATGTGCTAGTGTTCTCCAGAACAAACAAAAACACTTGAAAAAATTCAGCGTGCCTGCTGTACTACCATTCTCTAAAAAGCTTTAGAGATGCAGAAGACACTGTTTCTGTGCCTGGAGAATTTTGACATGAGAATTGATGCTGCCAGCACTTTATGTAGCTATAGTTGTATAACTCTGAAAATTTGCTGCAGATAATGTAGCACTTACTGGAACATTTAAGTAGCATTTAAGTAGCACTCACAGAGTTTCTTTTGGTCACAGGAGTTGTCTGCATGATTTTGTTAATGTGAGCTCAAATAAGAAACTCACAGAGTGAGTCTTTTGGTCTTTTGGTCTTTTGGTCACAGGAGTTGTCTGCATGATTTTGTTAATGTGAGCTCAAATAAGAAACTGAGAACAAATACATTGTGATCCTGTTTATTTGCTGCTTTTTCTAAGGCTCCATCCATTAAGTTGCCTTCCTCAGTGTTTGCCACAGAGTTTGAAGAGGATGTTGGATTGTTGAATAAAGCTGCTCCTGTTTCAGGTATTTTTCACCTTACTGTGATGTGAGTTGCTATCTAGGATGTAGATGGTAATTAAGGCTTGTTATGGTGATGTCATGTTTTTTTTGGCTTAGAACAGGCTCAGTAGCAGACATAAGGAATGATCTGTGAGAGAGCCATGTTTCAGTTTGAGACTTCTGTGATTCACCAGTAAGAGTTCTTTAGCTTTGCTTGGAGAGGGTGAATCCATGAACTCTTACTATTGTCATAGCAAATACAAACTAATAACAGGGGGAAACTGTAGATAATACTATTAATTTTTTATTCTGTCTCTTTGAATCCGAGTCTGGAACTGGATTTTCACTCAGTTTCTCTTCAAATGCTGAGTAGCATTTACATCCCTTCATTATGTTACAGGCTGTGAGTAGGTTTTTGTTATGTACCCACATTTGCACTGAACATTGACTGCACAGCTATCTCCATATTTCATAACAGTAAGGAATTGTAGCAGTTCTCTCTGTCCTGACAGAAGGTTGCTAAAGACAATTCTGTGAATTGTAGCAGCGAAACACTTTTTAACCTTTTGTAATGTAGGGAATTTTAGGGTTGGAGCTAATGCTGGCAGTTGGTCATGTGGTCCTTTAACCTTGATATTTTTCTTTATAAAAATATTAAAATGCATTTATGGAAGCTTAAGACCTCTGGGAAATGCTTTTTCTGAGAGATAAAAATTGGCAAGAGGTTGGTGACATGCCTTGGCTTCTATCAGATCTACAAATATTCTTGAGGAATTTTGTGATTCTTTGGTTTAAACTTGCCTTACTGCAAATGAACAGTCCAGCTGGATTGTTTTTTATCCAGGAAAGTAGCTTTGTAATGTCAGAGAAATGTAAATATTTATGTTTTGTTTTTTCAACTTTCTAGGACCACGCCTAGATTTTGACCCAGATATTGTTGCAGCTCTTGATGATGATTTTGACTTTGACAATCCAGAAAATATTCTGGAAGATGATTTTGTTCTGCAAGCAAATAAACCACAGAAGCGGTAGATAGAGCTTTGTTGAAATATTTGTCATATGTGAATAAGAGATGCTATTTGCTATTTGCATGTGGTAGTGTAGGAAGCCACAATGGTTTCAGATGTCAAACTGAATATTTTGGTGTGTTGAAAAAAGTATTACCTTGTGTTACTCGGATGGCAGCTTGCAAAATGAAATTTCTTACTTTATCCAAGAAGTGGGTTTCATTTGTTACTTTGAGCTCATGGATTATATGCAGTATTTGGAATAATGGTGTTCTTGAACTGTTTAAAACGTTGTCATCTCTTGCATGTAAAATACGTCAGTAATAGTATTGATGAAGGCTAATGGGTGTTTCTGAACCCTTTACAAATGCTTTGTGTGATACCCCACAGCATTTTATCTACTTAGGTTTTGGTATCATTCTCATAATTTCATGAACAGTAAGAATTTTTGCTTGTTTTAATAGTCAAGAATGCTGCTGATATTTTTCTGCTTTGACCTGTACAGCTGAATATAAAAATAACTTCAGTCTCAGTGCACAGAAGCATGATCCAGCTAGAAATGCTTTCAGCTCTCAGAAAAGTGTCTCTCTCAAGATATTTAAATCTGTTATTGCCAAGTTGTTTCAGATAACCCAGGACAGGTCAGAGCTATGTAAAGGTCCATGTATTATTCTAAAACTATTTTGTGCTTCTGTTCAGGGGACCTGATGCTGAGGATGAAGATGAATGGGAAGATATGGAAGATGATAGTGATGAAAAGGATAGCTGCAGTACTGATGGAGACTATGATTCAGAAGGTCCTTTGTCAGATGGTGAGGTTAATGGACAGCCAAAAGAATTCCTTTTCATGCAAGAAGAAACCAGGAGTCGTTTCACAGAATATTCTATGACATCTTCAGTAATAAGACGGAATGAGCAGTTGACCCTCTTGGATGACAGATTTGAGAAGGTGAGGCTACTCAGGATTGTAACTGTGAAGGGTGTCAAATGCTTCTTTGTCTATTGATTAATTTCATCAGGCAGTGTCCTGTATACCTGTGCAGATTTTACTGCTTTTAACAGTCAGGGCATCAAGCTACTGCTCTTAGCATGTAGTCTGCATTTAATACTGGGTACATTTAGAGGCTTGTGTCACCTAGGCTGTAGTGTTAATTGCTGTTGTAAGGCCCAGCACTGATGGAGGTAAACAAAATTACTCCAGTGACTGTATGAGCATTCATAATTAGTGTTACACTTTTGTCTGAGAGGCTCAGTTCAACCCAGCAAGCCATTTACAGGTCCCTGGTAAAGTATAAATTCATGAAGAGAGCATGGAAATAGGGTGTAACTTTTGTTCTGAGCAGTGACAGGCTTCTTAAGGCATAGATTGAAATAATGCATCAGAATAAAAAACGTTTTTTAGAAGCTGGTTTATATATTATTATGAGATAACTTTGTGAGTCCTATGTGGAAAGAACTGACAGTAAGGAAATCCTACTGCAGATGTGTTTGGCAGTTGTTCAGCGAATGAGAGGGGAGAGGAAAAAGAAGCAAATAAAAATAAATGTTTGGCTCTTCTTCAAGCTATCAAGAAGTTGCATGACAAATGTGGTCTAGTTACAGATACCCACTTCTTTATTTTAGTTTTATGAACAATTTGATGAAGATGAGATTGGAGCCTTAGATAACGTGGAGTTAGAAGGCTACATTAACACAGACAATGCTCGGCTGCAGGAAGTCCTGGATGATTACTACAAAGAGAAAGCAAAGAAGTATGTATTCCCAGAAGTGCTGCTTCACATAAGTAGTTCTGTAATCCTCTGTTTATATGGAAGTTTTGGGCATGTTGTTTCAAGTTCATGTACTCAAAAGATTGCATCCCAAAATAAATCTGCTGCATGTGAGTGTTATCCACTTGCATGATAAAATTAAGTGGAGAATTTTATTGGTTTGAGTAGGTTATACTCCTTTTGTATAATTGTGTTGAATGTAATGTAAGCAGTATCTATTAGAGGCATTAATCCTCTTGAAAAACAGAAATACTTCTTTTGTTGACTGTGTCTTTGTCCTAACGTTATTAGTTTATTTTGAGCAGGCTTACTTAAGGAAGCTTCATTTTTGCTGCAAATTGGATTGCAAATAGCTTTATTGGGTCTGGGGCTTGACTTAAGGGAGTCTGAGCTTACATAATTATACATTTTCAGTAAAAGATAAACTCTATTTTTTTGTTCTCTGAACTTTGAAAAAGTTGTGTGAAATTGGATGCTCTTGAACCTGATGAAGATTTGGACTCTCCAGCAAATGAAGAAAGTGAGGAGGAAAAGGAAGAAATAGTAACTGTAGTTATTGAGGAGCCAAAAGAAAAGTGGGATTGTGAATCCATTTTGAGTAAGTATTTTGGAGTTTGCTTATTTGCTCTTAGGATTTCAAAGTAAATGATAGGTGATTTCAGAACTTCCCTGGCAGTGCTTCAGGTAAAATGGTTTTTTCTCTGAGCACAACAGGAGAAATTCCCAAAACCTAAGTAGCAGTACAATTCATAATTGCCATTTGCAAGCATTTCTTGACTACTTTCTTTTTTCTTTGTGGCTTAGGTACTTATTCAAACTTATATAATCACCCAACACTTATTAAGGAGCCATCAAAGGTAAAATTATTAAACTTACTCTGATGAATAACACTGGGAAAACTTGAGATAAATGTGTTTTTTTTTCTCAGTGGGTATCTGTTTTAAAAGACAGGGAGCAGAAATGAGGGTTGGGGAGGGCTTTGGTATTATTTCTTCACTAAAGAAGAATTTGGCTATATTTTTTCTTATTAGAAGGAAAACTGAGTCAGTTAAACGTTTCTGTAATAGCTAGGCAGAAACAGAGCAAGGAATTTCCTTTGTTGGTATCTGTGAGATACCGGTGAGATTTGTGTAATCTGTGTCTCACAGCCACATACTTGCTCAGGTTTATTTGCCTGTGGTCTGGAACAATTTATTCTAGTTCTTTGGTCTTCCATATGTTCTCCATCATTAGAGCACAGCTTAATATCCCCAAATTTGGAATGAAACCTTTTTCTTGCAAGCTTATAAAGGAAGATTAATTGACTACTTGAGTTCTTTATTTTTTCAGTAATACTTAAATAGAAGGGAAAAATGTTCTTCTTGTTCTGGAAAGCCAGATTTTGTCACACATGTTTTGATTTCATACTTTGGGATTAATGTGTGTTTTTGTGGGGGAATTAAATAGTATGAGGAGACTTAACATTTATTACTGTTAAATCTGGATCTGAAGTTTTTACACTGATAAGGCAGTGCCATGTGCACTTCCTGGAGAGAAAGCTAGGGGCCAGTAATTCATATGCACTCTATTTTAGCCCAAACCAATAAAAATTTCTCAGAAGACTGGAATTCCCCTACACATCCTGCCTCAGAAGGGTCTCACTGCTAAGCAGGTGGAGCGCATGCAAATGATAAATGGCAGTGACCTGCCAAAAGCATCAACACAGCCTCGTTCCAAAGCTGAGAGCAAAGAGGATCGCAAAGCCAGAAAACAGGCAATAAAAGAGGAGCGAAAGGTATGCCTGACTGCAAATAAAACCTTGCAAAGCATTTTATGTTACCTGAATTCTGTCTTACAAACTTTGTTTAAAACTCACTTGTCATGTCTGAAGGTAGTGGGAAAATCTTGGTGGTCTCAAAGGACTAATTATTGCTTCTTAAAAAAAAATAATCTACTGGAAAGAAAGTTAACATCACACTTTTGTCTTGCTGATTTCCAGTATCACAAAACTTCGAGTCTGTTACTGTCCACTACTGCAGATACAACTGCTGAAGGAACAGCATATTTCCTTGCAATCTAAAGTAGCAAAGGAAATAGCTACTTCTCACTTTGTGTGATCTGAAACATCATATCTGAAAGAAATGTGGAAAATCCTAATTGGCCACAGTGAAATCCTAGCTGTCTTACTTAGGAACAGAAATTGCCAGCATATTAGAAGCTTCGGCTGACTAAAGATGTTTGTCCTGGTTGTACACGTATTAATTTGACTACTAATAATTAGTGCCATAAATAATATTATTGTCCAGATTGCTCTTACTTTCATGATCTAGAAGAGTTAATTGGAATAGTTTGATTTTGCATGTTAATTCCTATTTTGTAAATTTCTCATTATTCATATGTACAGGAACGCAGAATGGAGAAGAAAGCCAACAAGCTGGCCTTCAAACAGGAGAAGACAAGACAAGAGAAAGAGTTGCTCAATCTGAAACAAAATGTGCAAGGTCTGAAGCTGTCCTGATGAAACTGAGAAACTTACTATGGAACTATCCCTAATTTTTCATTTGTGTTGGAAGGGAACTGCTAAATCACACCTTTGCCAGTCCTGCTCAAAGAGGGTTCTTCAAATCTCACTGTAACAAGACCCAGTAATTTGTCATTTTTCTGAAGTGAAATTCTATATAAAATAATGTATTGGTGGTATCTATTCTGTCATGAGTGACATGGCAATTGCTGCAAAGTTTCATTACAGCAGAAATGTATTAAAATTACAAATATTTTTCTTACTAGTTATCACTGAACAAAGTTTATATGTATTTGTTGAATGTATTCAACAAATCAGCAGAATCCTACAGATTTGATCTGATTAGATTCTTCTATTAAATTATTTCAGTTTACAAAACAGTATTTTCATTTACGTCTTTTCTCTCTTATACTGGTGGTTGAATATAGTTCCTTGCTATAATACAGTTTTGTATGTCAAGGAGTTTACACCCACTCTTCCTTGGGTTTTTTTTTGGGTAGATTATTTATTGTTTTGGTACTATGATGGGAGCCTTTTGTCTGAAAAGCTGTTCTCCAGCTAGACATCGCTGTTACCTAATCCGAGTTTTACATTTCCTGGCAAATAAAATGTGTCACAAGGAGCGTTGCACTTATAGAAGTCAGTGACCCTTAATGTTGTCATTGGAATTGGCTTTGCTGGAAGTACTCAGTCTGACTAGGATGGCAAACAAACAGCAGATACTTGGCTAAAAAGTGATAAAAAGTGTGTGTTGCAGATAGTCACTGTCTTAGTGTCTCTAGAATACCCTTCCTCAGGTCTTGTGTTTAACTTGATTTAGTTGGAATACAAACTTAATACCTGCTCCTGTTGTTATAAAAACTTCCTAAAGATGAGCTGAGGGCCACAATCTGTAGGTTTGGTGTGAACTTAAATGTTTATACTGTGAACATGAATTGTTTTGATAGTGACTGGTTCATAATGTGAGTAAAATGAATAGAATTTTTAGTCAGCCCTGAATCCTTCTGTACTCATTAAAAAACTCCTCAGGTTTATGTCTGTATGTTACAGATATAATCTTCTGCCTTTATGTGAAAAGTTAACTTTTTTACTGGAAGGGACATGGTAACTAATACATCAGTGCAGTGGCCTGACTACTGGTGAATTCAAAGCATCTTCAATATTCCTTCAGTAGTTTTGTGAATACTAGATAGAGACAAGATAACAGGCACTGATAAAGTCTTTTAATGTACAGAAAATTCAAAATACTTGTTTTTATTGGAAGAAAGCTTTTATAATATATTTTGATTGGTAAAGCATCATGATTTTGGAGAAGGGAATAAAGAAGCATCTGAATCTGCAAGTCTTGGTTACTGCTCAGAAAGCTAAAGTATCATGTACAGTATACACATCTAGATTAAGCCTTCATTTTCTAGAATTGTCTGTTAACAGAATCAGTAAGAAATAATCTCTAAGATTAGAAAAAGTTTTAGTATTTTCCTTTAGCTGATGCTGGTACTAGTTTTCATGTGTTTGACAAGCTTAAGCAGGATCTGCCTGTGTCTTAATTGCTAATTGTGTAATCACTGATTCTGTGGTAACTGGAACACTGACCACCCGGTACTCATGATTCCTGACAGCAAAACAGAAAGGAAATCTGAGAACCAAGTCTGTTGAGGTGAGTCAGATACCAGGAAATAAGTTCAATGGAACAAGTAAGTAACAGATTCTGTTCAGTGCTTTGGGGTGGGAATATGATTTTGTGGTTTACCAAAAAGGACAGTCTTACTAAAGCCAGTGCACACGTTCTTTGCTAGGTTTCTCATCACTGATTCAGTGGTACTGTGCTTATACCTAAAGTCCTTTAAAATAAAAACAAAAATAAAAGGAAAAACTAACATCTAGAGGGGATGAGAACAGAATAAAGAAGTGTGGGAGGAAGGCACTTGAAATGAAGAGTGTAGTCTGGACCAAGGACAGACACAGCTGTGGCTTGGAAACAAAGGAGGAAAGACATTTAAACAGAGGCAATAGGAAAGGAGTCAAAAAGATTTCAGAATTGCTGTGTTCCTCTTCACTTGTAATCAGTGAAACCCTACAGTAACCTTAATAGTGCTTTGGAGTGTGGTAAAATCCCAAGGAAAAGGTAAAAAAAAAAAGCAGTCATTCATCTGCTTAGCACGACAAGGATTTCTTTTGTTTTAGCAAGAGAAGGTAAAGAACACTTGCATGAGGAGTCCTTACAGAAGTTATTTTAATGAAGTACCTCTGTAGGTTGCAAGTCAAATGAAAAGGACTCTCCTTTTCTTGAAGTTTTTCTAAAGGCTGTTTTTGTTTACTAGAAGTCATGTTCCTGCTCTGAAATGAGTGTGATTGTCTTTGGAGTTAGAAGGGCCTGACACTACTTTCCATGTAACTTTAACACCTACTTTTTCAAAAAAAAAAAGGTGATTTAAACGCAAATCTCAACAAATTTAACATCTATAAAGTAAGATCATCTTGGAATGCTGTTTAGCATATCATGGAAGCATTCCACCTTAATAATGAAGATCGTGGCACACTTTGCATGACACTTTCTACCTCAGCCATTACTGGGTATCCACTAGCTGATATCCAAACCATAAGTCTGGGAGGGTGCAGGTCACCTGCCCTGAATTTAGGCAGTGGTGAACTTAAGTATTGTTCCACCATCTCCTCTGCCAGCTGTGATGTCATTGTGAAAGCACGTACCTGAGCAGTCATGTGGAAAACGGAATGCTGCCTGTCATAGCTAAGGAGAGCTTGTGCTGTGTTGGAGCAGGATAAATGAGGAGGGAGTTCTGCAAAAGGGAAGCCTGGTATGTAACAGGAGAGTTGGATTTGATAGTTCTTGGGTCCTTTCCAGTTCAAAATATTCTGTAATCCTATGGAGATGTCCCTTTCTGACAATGAAGTACTGTTCCAGCAAGAGCCCTGTCCAAGTGCCGACTGCTGCAGTCATGACATTCTGTGCTGTGTAACCGAGGCTCCTGCATGCTTTGCATTTTGCACAGCAGCCTGAAGTCAAGGTCTGGCTCCTTCTACAACCCATGGAAAACACTTTGCATATTTTGTGGCAAAAACTTTTTAATGAGAATTTCAATGCATTTAGCTGAAATGGGTAATGAGCACTGAGGAAGGAGGAGGTGACTGCTGGTAGAGAAGTGGGTTGAACAAGTTTAAACAGCAAATTATCTAGTAACTGCTTTCATTAGTGAACTTGATTAGAGAATTTATTGACACAGACACACTGTAAATTCATCTTCAGTCTTGCACTGTCTTAATTTACCTGCTTGTCCAAAACCATGTTTACTATACACTGAATTTAAAAGAATGTATTTTCTCTTGGTGAGGTATAAATTGCTAACTTGCAGCTTCCTTTTTTGCTCCAGGATTTTAGGCTGAATTTGTTATTTCAGTCTTCTTGGGAAAAAATAGACTAATAAACCATCTGATAAGTAGTCCCTTTGACAGCATAATGTGGGCACCAGGCTCTGTTCCAAAGCCTGCTGAAGTGAATGAAAAGATTCCCCTTGACCTCTCTGATCCCTGAATTACAAACTGAATGCCTGACGGCATAGTTTGCCTGGCACAAACCAAATGCAGGGTCTTTCTGCAAGGAGTGGGACTCTGCACATAGCCCTCTGCTCTTCAGTTTGTGTTACTGATCCTGTGTCTCTGTGGTAGATCAGATCAGCCCTGCAATAGTGCTAAGACCTGATTTGGCAAGGAAAAACCCAAACAAAACAAAAAATACACTAAAATCAGAGTGACTGCAAGAAGCAAGACAAAAGTGCAATTACATTGCGTTTGATATCTCAAGATTTGTGAAGAGCATAATGGTTTTATCAAGCAAGATAGTCTGAAAAGAGAGAGCTGTGTGTTGTGAGAGAGGTGACAAGTTTTGTGTCACCATGACTAGTGTGAGATCCAGCTCCTTACAGTGGTTCTCCATGCCCTGGTGATGCAGGACTGGTTTGCTCCTCACTGAGCAAGGCACAGGTGTCTGCTGCACTTCCAGTACTGCAGAGGAATATTCCTCTCAAGTTTGCTGTCAAAAATGTCTAGAAACAGAATGTAAGGACCGGAGTCATAGGAGTAGAAGGTTCAAAGGGAAATGAGGATTTGGAAGTGTGTGCTTTTGTGGAATGAGGTGTGTTTTAGTCCCTGCTTTCCAGTCTGTTCCTGAGCAGAACAAACTGGAAATGGCTTCTATTTCTTATTTGTGTCGAACTGCAGCTGTACTTGGACAGCTATTGGAAGTTTTGGTGAAGTCCTTCAGGAGTTAAACTGAACCCAAAATAAATATTGCTGCAGCTCCCTGCTCCTGGATGTAAGTAATTTTGAAGCCTGGGTAAGAAAGCATCATTAGCAAAGCATCACTCCAACCCATAAGCACCAGTTTTCCTTTGCATCCCAGCTGATCCAGTGTTCCAAGGAAGCTTCAAAAGGAAGTGCAAGCCCTTCAGCATTTTGAGACAGAGACTATAGGCAAGAGAAATCACCACTGTGAAGAGACAGCCCCTGCAAAGGGTATAGTTAAAACTGAAGTGTGTGTGTTATCTCCATGTGAAGTCTTTCATCCAGTAACACAATTGTTTCCTCCAAGGACAAAGCCGGGATGTTGTGGATGAGTGTCACATATGTGCTTGACTGGATGCCAAATTCGTCCCTCCCCCTCCCTGTGCTGCTAGTGTTTGGGAATATGAAGAGCCAAATCAGTAAATGTCATGCCTGCCCTGAGCACATAAGTGTCTCTGCTCTTCGAGTAAATGTTCAAATATATTTTTTAAAGACAATGTGAATCTCTAATAGATTTCTCTTCACCTAAATCTGAAAGAGAGCATGATTCAAGACAGTTGATGCATGAATGCCCAAGGTTGAACCTGGGAGCTGCCCTTGCACAGATGAAGTTGCAGAGATTCACTGCCATATTACTGAAGGGTTTAAAAATGGGGTTGAGCTGACCTTATTTACCAGAGATGGAGGAAAAAGATGCTTAAGCTCTTACTGGAACAAGTAATTTTTCTAGGGAGTGAGTATGCATGGACATGCACGGATACTATTTTATCCAGAGATGCCAATTCACTACTGATTTGGTCAACTGCTGTTGTAAAATGTCCTTTAAAATCTGTTGTGGAAAGAAAAGAAGTGCACATGAGTTTAAAGTTAAAAGAATGTGACAAAGGAAGAAGGGAAGGTGTCTTTTCTAATAATTCTGATTTTCTGATTCTTCCTAAGTGTTCTTATGTCTGCCATGACCATGGTATTTTGTTGGAGTGCACTGGTTTTTTATTCTCCTTCTTGTACTGTCAATAGACAGTGAAGGGCTGAACCAGCTTCCCTATGCCTTTCAAAAAATGCAAATTTCTTTTGTTTCTAATGT